AGCCAAGCACTCGACTGGAACATTGCTCTTTGATGTCTGTTCAATGGCAGATTCACTAAGCAGAATGAGCCAGTCTCTACTAATGAGGATTTTGGTCTGGAGTTGTTTGCTTACCACAGAGGCACCTGGTAACTGTAGCAATAAGGCTTTGAACTCCTTGAATTTTAAGGCTCCACTGTATCATCATTGAGATTTTGCTTGCCCTCGTTGGACAATTTGACCGGTGCTGAGTTTGGTTTGCTAAGATTAGGAAAGTGGGGAGAGGGGGGATATTCGGGGACCGAGAGACTGTACACGCCACTCTGCTTGTGGGATTGCTCTTGTGTTCATGCCCATGCTCCATTGAATTTTAATGTAACCTTTGCATTTGGTATAGCATCTTTCACATCCGGAAGGCTTTACAGTCTATTCTGTGAAGCACTTTGAGCCAATTCTGCACACATCAGTGTCCTACAAATAGCCATCACGTGATTTGACCCAATTTTATCTCGGAGATTGTTGGCCCGGCCACCGGGAGAAACTCCCCTTCCATTTTTGAATAGTGACACCCGGACAGGCAGACGGGACCTCGGTTTAACATCTCATTTGAAGCACCGCGCTCCTGACCATGAGGATTTCCCCAGCACTGCGCTGGAGTGTCAGGCGAGACTATGAGCTGAATCACCGTAGACTCCAGGCAGTGCACCTCTGCAGCGAAGTGGCGGAGGAGGGATAAAGTCAAGGGTGCAGGTCACCCCATGTCCCTCTGAACATCTCTTGACAGATGCCTCTAGGAGCGAACTTTCTGCTCAGCCTCCAGGCAAACGCCAAGCTCAGGGTGTGAGGATAGATGAAGGTGGATGAGTGATGGCCAGGTTCCGAAACGAACAAATGACCTGAATTGAACGGTGTCATTGACAAACTGAGACCCATGGTCCTTCAAAGAGAAGAGAGAGAGATTTTTTTCTCTCTGCTGAGAGACGGATTCTGTTGCATTTTAGCTGTTTGTGTCTTTTGGCGACCAGCAGCTCTTCTTTGAACTGCACCAATGTTTTAATTATAAATTAGTTGTAGGTTTTGAGCCTGATCCAGATTTTTTTTGTGTGTTACTGCTACAATTCTGCGCTTCCCTGAAACTGTGGAGACAAATAAGTTGCTGGATAGTTTTCCTGAAGCCTTGCCATTTTGTTCCAAATCAGATTTCGTATTTGTTTTGTTGAGTATTCGGACTAATCCTTTTACTTAAACAAAGGCCTTATTCTGGATATAGTTGAGTTATTGGCAAGAATAGCTGTGTTTTTTTTTGCAACACATCATTTAGGAGCAGTTGTCTGTCCTGGTTGAAAAGGTGCTGAAAAGCACCGAAGACGAAGAGGTTTACAATATTCTTAAAGGGCTGGAAACCATAATGTTAAAGAATTTCTTTGGAGGGTAGCAAAATGTCTGATGCACGCAGAAACCCAGCACCAACCATCAACCGGACTGAGAATTTCACATACCCATATCATTTTTTCATTAAAATAATTTTTTTATATAAAAATATGAAAAGAATTGGGTCACTCAATCCGCGACTGTTTGTGGGACGCTGCTGTGCGCAATTGGCTGCCGCCTATCGCCCACAAATATACTGTCAATTCAATTTACAGTGTATCCTGTGAGGCGCTTTGAGACGTCTAGAAGACGTGATAAGGCCCTATATCAAATGCAAGGATTTATATTTACATGTGGAAATTTCCGTGTGCGGAATGGAATTGCTCGCTCTTTCCCTGGTGGAGAGGACCCTGTTTATCTAATTCCTAGATACAGGTTGGTGAGTTAACAAGGCTTGTGGACGCCAGTGTGGGGGTACTGTTGAAGCTCAACCATCAAAAGCCGCACAGCTTGCCAACGGGAGTTTTCAGAGGAGAGTGTTACAAACTGAGCCAGGCTGATATCAAACCGAGGATTTACACAAGATTCTTCATTTATTGTGGTTGCTGTAATATTTGTGTTTGAGAGAGGCAGAGAGAGGCAAAAATAGCATGAAGCTGGTAAATATTTGGCTGGGCAAAACGTTGGGAAAGTTTCCTTACCCACGCACCTCTGTTTACTTAGAGGTAAGTAGGAACCTGGTTGTTAGTCGATTGGTGGGTCCCTTTTTCCGGGGACAATAATCCCTTTTAAAAATAATCATTGTTACTCAATCCACGACTGTGTGTGGGACACTGCCGTGTGAAGTTGCCTGCCGTTGCATGTTTCGCCCACAAAAATATACAGTCAATTCACTTTACAGTCTATTCCGCGAAGCGCTTTGAGACGTCTCGGAAGACGTGATAAGGCGCTGTATCAAATGCGAGGATTTTTTAATAAATCAACGGCTGCAGCTAACGTTGATTACATCAGTTCTGGTGCCCGCCACCTGCTTCATTTATCTGTCTCTCTCTTCCCTTACGCCCCCCCACCCTCCTCTGCTCGGGCCACTCACAAACTCACCTCATCACATCAGTGAACAAGCACAATGGAATTAGCTTTAGCCGTTCCCTGAGGGTTTCTCCCCCCAAGAGTCCGGTGGGCTCGCTCAGTAGTCGGCATGCTTAATTGTGGAAAGTGGAAGGAAGAATGCTCTATCTCTCTATCTCACATCCTCAGGAAAAACAATTACGGCTTTTGTTTCTTAAATGAAGTGTTTTTCTTGGGATAGCCTGATCCCCAGTGGAGCTCTGGAGCTTGAAGTTATGGCAGCACAAACCGCTATAAAATGGTCACTTTTTTTCCCCCTCATCAAAACCTCTTTTATTGAAAACCAGGTTTTAACATTCCTTTCCCTTTTTCCCCCTCCGTTCACATTAAGAGCCTCCAGTAGTTCCCCGCCCCCCACTCTCTTCTCTCCCCCCTCCTCTCCCACCCGATTCCTCAAACTTTGCTTTGCTTTCATTTTTTTTAAAAAAAGAAAAGTCCTAAGCTGTAATTTTTATAAGTTTTGGATCAAGTCTATCTACTCTTTCAGAGAGAGTGCGGTGTAAATTACACGGTAGTATTATGCTTCAAACTGATCCTGGAAGTCTCCTAAGGGGCAGTGCATGGGTTTTTACGATGTCTGTTTCATATAAATGTTAAATTCCTAGCTTTACCTTGTGTGTGTAAAAAAAATAAAATATTCTATGGATATTCTCAGGGAATTAAATGAAATTGAACTGCGCTTAACAAAAAAAATAATAACTTGAACTCGGAGAGAGGGAAGTGAAGTAGCTGGCAAATAGCTCATTGCTTCAGGGTGTTTTTCTGTACTGTTGGGGCCAGTGATGTACAATTAATCTTCCGCGTAAGAGACAGTGGTCTGGTTGGAACGGTTGCTACTTATTTCTTCTGTTGTGTTTGAAAGTGGGAAGAGTTGTTTCAGATGTTCTTCTTTCTCAGTCAATGTTTGACATGCTTTTAGTTAGTACAGTTCCGATGGCTATTTTTTTTAACACTGCTCCACGAATTGCAAGTCCGTCTTATGTCCAGATGATTGGAAGCATTTTCGAAGGGCTTTTAAATATTTTCGGAAGAACAACTTAAATATGTAGGGATGTCTCCTCCCCCAAAAGCAAAAAAACACAATCCTTTGAGATCTGCATTGGTCCAAAGGGAACTGAAAAAGCTCCTTCTGGCTGATTATAGAGCAGCAAAAGTATAAGCTGAGACGCTAGTGTTTGAGGCTCGGGATGCTGCCTTAATATATGAATGTACAAGTGATAGAAGTCCCGAGCGTTTTGAGTAATTGTACCACACTTGAAACGGGCTGTCTGTGGCTTGTATAACAGGGCACCGTTGCCCTATGAATTAATTCCCAGCAGATTCTTTGCAGTCAGCCGAGTACATTTGACTATATCAAAGATTGTATTGTTAAATAGGGCCACCATTTCTTTGCACTGCAATCAAAATGTTTGCTTGTGAAAGAATGTGTTGGCACATTCAAAACACCCATTCAGAAATGTTGGCAAGCTAATAAAGTAATATAGATGGTGCCATTGATAGTCATTTGTGTCTCTGAGCTTGTTTTTGTGCACATTCCTAAGGTTATAGCTTTTCATGTCTTTTGTTGCGATTAGAGTTGCCTGGCTTGTCGCCTCCCCCGAAGTCCAGAAGGCATTTTAGTATATTTTTGAAAAAAAATTATTGTTTTTTTAAGCCAGTCTCTCTCTTGAGATATTCGAGCAGTAATACTAATAATCCTCGCATTTGATAGAGTGTTTTTTCACGTCTTCTCGACGTCTCAAAGCGCTTCACGGGATAGACTGTAAAGTGAATTGACCGTATATTTGTGGGCGAAATGAGGCAGCCAATTGCACACAGCAGCGTCCCACGAACAGTCGTGGAGTGAAAATGACCGATTTTTTTTTATTATTGTTTTGTTTTGGAGGGATTATCATTAGTACATTGTTTAGTACATATCGGAACAATGCACAACAATACAACAGTAATTTAAAGTGCTTGCCCTGTGTGACAGCACACAGACAACCTGATACTACATCGAACGTCACACAGTGAATATTCTATGTACTGGCCAAATCGTTTTTTCTTATTCCCAGAGTAGATTTCGTACTTCTTTCCATCACAAAGCCCTAATTAGTGTGAACCTCTTGTGGGTATTTTCTGACTTCTGCCTGTGACTTAAAAAATTCGCAAACCTACATGGTGTGTTCTCATTATTTCAGCCAAATCAGCCCATTACCATTCACACCGTGTGACTCGATTTAAAATCCAATGGAATCAACAGAGATTAAAAGACAGGATGAAACCTGATTGAATTCACGTTTTTAACCGTGAAAAGTTGCCCTTTTCTCCAAAGCTTTTAGTCCCCCGAAACCTGGGGGGGTGGGGGGGCGTTCCAGCAAGCGGTCAATAAAGGTTTAAGAGAAGGGAAAATTCTGTTTCCTCAAATTTCTTGTTGTTTTCTTTGCTGAAAGGATGTGTGTGTGTCTAGGAAAGTGTGCCATGTGTAGCTCACGCAACGACCTGGGCGTGACTGACGAAGATGCATTTTGTTCGGTTTCCAGAACGGTCTCCGCATAGGCCCATCCTTCAAGCCGGGCTCCCAGCAAACAAAACGGTGTTGGTCGGGAGCAACGTGGAGTTTGTGTGCAAAGTGTACAGCGACGCTCAGCCACACATACAGTGGCTGAAGCATTTTGAGAAGAACGGCAGTCGGTACAACCCAGAAGGCAACCCATATGTCCACGTCTTAAAGGTTCGAGACTTCAGGCCCGTTGTCCTGAACATTTCTGCATGTTGTCGTGATTGTCTTAACTGTTTTAAATTGGAGATGTTTGGAAATAAGTTCACGGAATATTCAGGGCCTGGGGACGTCCTCCCGATGTGAAAAGATGCGCTGCATAGATGCAATTTGTCGTGTTTGTTGGTGTTTCGTGTTATACGTTCAATATACTGATTTGATATCTAAAATCACTCGTGTGTGTGTATCTAATTATATAATGATGTAATGATTTTTGTTGTAAAATTGTAACTTAAAATTGTGGCTCTTGTTGCGGTATTGCGTTTCAAGTTAACGATGCCTTTATTACCCCTCAGCCAGCTGTCGGAATGGGGAGGGGAAAAATATGAAAGGGGGAGAAATACACACCGAGGTTTTAATGGTAGCCGTTGCGAACCGTTTATTAAGGGCGCAAGTTTAGATGTTTTTGATGCTCTGTTACTGTTTTTGGTGCGATGTTCCTTTTGCCCTTCACCCCCCCACCCCCCCCCCCCCCCGTCACCCCATTAACACTGTGAATTTTCCCCCAAAACATTTTTAGTTAAAGAATCGTTCACTTTGTGACACACGGATCTTTCTCTTGTGAAGCGATTTGAGTTGGTGTTGGTGGTGGGATGTTAGCGGTTTCCGTACCTGGGCAGCTGTGATATTGTTACCTTTTGTTATTGATTTGTTCTAGCATTCGGGGATAAATAGTTCCAATGCTGAAGTGCTGAAACTGTTCAGTGTGACTGAGGCGGACAGTGGAGAATATATATGTAAGGTCTCCAATTATATTGGAGAGGCCAATCAGTCTGCCTGGCTCACTGTTATTGATTCCCACCACCAAAAAGGTAACGCTTTTCAGGTACCGGAAGTTTAAAGAGCTGTGGCCATGCTAAACGGGTTTGGGAGAAAGCTGATTAATGCTGGGTGACGTGAAGAAGATACCAAGCAACTTACAGGATCTTTGGGCCTTGGGTTATTGTCGGTCCTTTAACTTTCTTTCCATACTGCAACCTTGGTGCTCGCTAGTCATGGAAAAATACCCACAATACAGTCGTACCTACATTTTGTCGTATCTATCTTTGCTGCGACTTTATTGGTGACGTTTTATTGCTTCGTTAATCCTTCTGTGTTTTTTCTTCTTCCTCCCGCTATTGTTTTTTTTGTTTTGTTTTTTTTTGGCGCTGTTTTCTATCTAAAACCGATTCCCCTTTTCCTAAGTCGACATTCCCTTGAATTCCTTCTCCTCATTTTACACTCTCGTCGCTTTTCCCGTTTCCTTTCTTGTCATTTTTTTTAAAAAAAAGAGAGAAAAAGGAGAGAAAAAAAAAGACTGTATCATGGGCCTATTTTTCCATGAATTCAACTGCATGCTTTTATGGGTGGTGAAGGGAATCTGATTATTCCTTAGGGCGAGCTTGGAGACGGGAGCAAGCATTGAATGGAGGATTGTGTATAGGGACAACCTCATAATCCTTCAGGTGGCTTTACCTCTGGTTATATACACCTCGTGGCTTCTTGCCCCTGCCCACAAATATCTCGTGTTGGTGTCGCTCGTATATTTTTTNCTCTTGTGCTTCCCTTTCTCTTCTAGGCTGCTGGTGTTAACACAACGGACAAAGAAATTGAGGTGCTCTATTTGCGGAATGTAACTTTTGAGGATGCTGGGGAATATACATGCTTGGCGGGTAATTCTATCGGGCTTTCACATCACTCTGCATGGTTGACCGTTGAGTCAGGTACAATACTGTTTTCCTTCAGTGGTTTAATCTATCCTTCAGCTAATGCAGAATTGGCACTACTTCTTGTAGTGGAACTGGCTACAGAATTGCAATGCAAACCCCAGCTCAAAAAAAGCAACCCACAATACCTTACCTAAATTCACGGCTACCAATCGTATTTCCATCGTAGAACGATGTCAGATTGATAAAAGTGCTTCGAGATGTTCCCCCCCCCCCCCCCCCCCCCCGATGTGAACGGCTCGACAAAAACATAAGCTGTGATGTTTCATCCACAAAATATACCGTCAATTCAATTCACAGTATATCCCGTGACACGCTTTGAGACGTCTCAACGACGTAATAAGGCACTATGTCAAATGCAAGGATTATTCTTGTTGTTGATCACCATACGCACAAAACCAAAATCCTGTATATTGAAACAAATCGAGAGCAGTGAGTTTGACTGATCAGTTGCACCTCTTGCTAATTCAACGCCAGTTCCTCTTCTGCAGTGAAGCAGTGTAATCTCTTGGGAATTGCCTCAATGAATCTACACTATGATCTTCAGTGATTGCATGCGGTTTATTTTTTTAAAAACAAAAAATCAGGCTCTTGATTCATTTGCGGCAAAGGGGGGCATGCACAGCCTTGCTGAGCATGCTCGCTCTGATGCCGTTTCTCCTCCTAAAGAAACGGCCATCGGTGCACTGGTAATTGACAGGAGCTGAAAGTTGATCCCACACAAATCGAGGACAGGTGAAACTTGCTCAATTATCAGTTCTCGCGTGCCGCAGCTGCTCCGTAATTCCCTCGAGAATCCTTCAATTCTACTGGACAATGATGGTTACAGATTTGTGAGTTGCAATGCTAGCTAATCCTGTCTCCCTAGAGGAAGGAACCTGCAACCACACGGTTTGATTTGAATGAAGTGTTGAGGTTTTTCACTGCTTAACATGATTGTCTCTTTAAAACTGCTGCATACCTTCCCTGCAGCCTCTAATTCCACGGACAATCAGGTGAAAACCTTTGCACAGCTTTGCTTTCACTAGAAACCTGGGACTGTTTCTGGATTTGTTTTCTATTCCTTTCACCTTCAATGCAATCGGAGAACATTTTATGCTTGGTAGCTTTTGGCTTACTACTTGTTATGAATGGCAGAAGTTTGAACAGCATTTGTTAGTTGAATAAGTAATACTGTAGGCATAAGGCAATGATAAAAACTTTAGTCACGGGCTTAACGCATTGAAGCTTATGCAAAGTTTATGAAGTTGTGTAACAGAATGTTTGTGCTTCTCACAAAACCAGTTCAGCTTTAACCTGTACGATTAAATGTCTTTTTTTTTATTTTTATGCTCGGCACACACGCATGATGTAAAGTTATTAATTTATTGATTTGAATGAGCGTAAGTGAAAATAAGCTAAAGAAAGGTTATGCTGCAATGTGTTTGGAATAAGCGATTGCTAATGTTACTCTGTCCATTTGCATCCCCTCCTGTTATTTTCTGTCTCCCCGCATTCCCCGTGCCATTTCCTAAGCAAGAGTGGGCCAGGCATTCCTCCTGACTGGCGCCCGCTAGTTACTGTCTGTAACTACCTTCTAGGAAATGTAAAAATGTAGCCAGGTTGATGCAAACTTTTCCTATTCCCCTCTTTGAATATGTGCTTCATCTACACTTGACTCCTCTCCTCTCAACCCCAGTGAGATCATAAACTTGCCCTATAGGGAATGGCAAATGCACATCCTATAACTGGTGTATAACATCAATACATTATGTCCCACACACTATATCTCATTACCAGAATTATTATAAAGGCAGCCCCCTTCTCCCTCCCTCCCAATAGCTCATTGAATAGCTGGACAATCCCAGATAAAGACACCACAATGGGCAAGATACTCGGAGGGTGATCGAAACGAAGATGCCTTTGGGATAAAATGTGGGGGAACATTATGAATATGAATAACGTTTCAGCGTCGTGTTTCATCATTGTGTGTGTTAACGTCTGATGCAATTGTTTCTTCACGTGCAATCCAGTTCCTGAAGAGAAGGCAAAAGGGTTGACCTCCCCTGACTACCTGGAAATAGCTATCTATTGCATTGGGGTCTTCATCATCGTGTGTATGATGGTGACGGTTATCATATGTCGGATGAAGACTCGAATGGAGAATACGGAGAAGAAGCCAGATTTTAACGCACAGCCACCTGTGCAAAAGCTGACCAAGCGCATCCCTCTGCGCAGACAGGTAACAGAAAGTAGATAAAGAGTTCAAAAACCTTTACTCAGCTTAGTTAGGGAAAATGTTTTATCGTCGATGCGTGTTGTTGGAGACCCAGACTTACTCAAATCAAATTTCCAAAATGACTTACTTGCTGTATCTTTAAAAAAATCTCTGGCTCTGACCACATTTCTAATTTAAGCCTACTTTGTCCTACAGAGATCTTTAATAGAAATTGCTCATTAATAGTTTTTACTGAATGATGTTGCTCAGGCCAACAACAATAACTGGTTCAAATCACTGCCACTGTTGATGTATGCGGGAGGAAATGCAAAATAATATCGTTGAATTTTTTCTCCGGAAACTTTTCACGGGTGACTTGACTAGTTTTCAGTACTGTATTGCATTTATTTTTAACCTTTGTTCCGTAATGATAGTCAGGGAACTCAGAAGTTCCAGACTGTTCCTTTTTCACTATGTTCACCCTAATAATGTGACTTTGGTAGCTTTCCACCCTGCAGCGAAATGACAAGCCCCTGGTGAAACTGATTGTTTACCTGACTCCTAACACTTAAATAAATTACATTGCTGGTCTGTGCAGATGCTTTCTGTAATCCCCTACCCCCCCCCAAAAAAAAACCTCTTGGAACAGTGTCGCAGACTGGCTCAGTTGGTAGCTCTTTCGCGTCTGAGTCAGATGATAATAAGTCCGACCCTTTCGGTCAGACTTTGAGCTCACTCTTCAGGCTGACTCTCTCGTGCAATGCTGGGCGAGTGCTGAATAGTTGGAGATGCCATCTTTTGAATGATGTGTTAAACTGAGGTCCAGGCTCAAGACGTGAAAGATCCCACTGCGACCATATGAGAAGTGAAGGGGGTTTCTCCCGGTTTCCTGACCAACAGTCTCCCAGGTAAAACTGGACCTTCACTTCTTGGCTATTTGTGAGACATTGACGTGTGCTAATCAAGCTACGGCAGTCACCTAGAAAATACAGTCAGTACACTTTACAGTTAATCCTGCGAAGGTCTTATCCTGACGTGAAAGGTATTAGATCAAATGTAAAGGACTATTTTTAAGTGCAAGCACTTTTACCTATGGTTGGTGTTGTTAAATCCATCCCAGGTTTCCCGCGGTCTCTGGGCTCACGTAGAATGAGTGCCAATTTGGGTGGGTCACCAGAGAGCTATTTGTTCGGTGCCTCCCGTCCAACTCGCATCAGACCTTCACGTCGAACTCTGTGTTTCACATGGAAGGAGACCTGCCATTCAGCTTCGATGTTATGTTAATTGAGGCTGGGATTTGTATCCGCTAGCTACCAGTGTGTACCAGCGAACCTCACAAACAGATTTAACAGTGAGCTGCTTCAGCCAGTCTGTAACAGCTGTTGATGTAATGATCACCTGGCGATTCTGTATTGTTACCTTTCAAACAAAGGCTTTAAATGCCAGAAGCACCACCTAAATGAAGAGGGTGGGTGTCTTCATTAACCCCTTAAACGCAATCCCAGAATCGCAAACGGTCAAGCATTGTCGTGCAGTGAGCTGTTTATCGTTGGAATGTGTCGCTTTTTGGCAGATGTTCCATTTCAAACAGTGGATTTTTATTCTTGCTGTTTACCGGCCTGTTGCTGTCTTTCCCAAAGGGTTAAACGCCTGTTTCCTGTGCAGGGAATGAAGCCCGAATGACAGGATGTGATAATAGCGAAGGAATTCCATTTATGTCCGAATGACCCCATTCTGTCACTTATATCTGCCAGATGTCGCACTAAATTACCAACCACTGGTCTTTAATCCAGCCTTAAACAGTGCAAATTAATTGCCCCGTGTAATGTACGCACCATTAGGGGTGCATACTGGAATAATTTCAGTGCAGCGATATGGACCCATTTTGTTAAAATCCATGGGAACCAATTTCGGTCCATTTGAGCGACATTTGTGAGCAAGCAGTGCCCATCATTGATCGTTGGAAGCAATTTTCTTTTCGAGAGGAACATGCACAGACCTTTTAGCCTGTTCATTTTTCATTGCCTGTTATATCCTGTGCTTTGAGGAATGCAAGAAGCTCGTGCCATTGCTTACGAGCTTCACTGCTCCCCATCACTTGCTCCATTCCATCACCTTTGGAGCAACCTGTCAGCAGATCAATGGGAGAACAAAAACAATGTACAGTTATGTTTAATTTTAATAGCATTTGTCACTGTTTGTAACCAAATAATGCCTAACCATGACATTTGTAGCTGCAGGAGCTGAAATGGAAAACTTGCAGTTCGAGGGGGTTTGTAGCCACGTAATGAACGGTTGGCTCAATTGTTATTGCATGTATGAATGTCATTTATACTCCAGATTCAGGAGCGAGTCTACACGAGAGGTGACGCTGTGCAGAAACCCTCCGGGCTGGATGGGTTCTCAAGTATCTTATTGTGGACATTGGCAGCACAAGTGTGCCAGGAGCTCTTATCGATGGTTTGGGTTGAAGTGAATGACAGAAACTGCCTCCAAATACTGTACGATGCAGTCGGTTTCTTCCCTGCCCGATAGGGACCCATACGACTGCAGAATGTAACAATAATAATTTAAAACATTATTGTGGATGAAAATGGTCTCTCTCCCCCACCACCCCCATACCTCCAAAAGGTTACTGTTTACCATATAATACTGGATTTGGTTTTATCAGCCACAAACTACAAAATAATGGTGGTGCGTAATAACTTTATAGACTTCTTCGCGAGAAAGGTGTATTGTAGCGCCACCGGGAAAGGCCTTCAGCACCATCAAAAATGCTGGCATAATGTTGGATCAGGTTAATAAACCTTTGAACATATTTGTCTTCATGCTGAAGGTCTTAGGCGTCTTGGGAAAAATTGTGGAAAAGAGTTTTTTTGCCCTGTCTCTTGAGAGGCTGGTACGGATCAGTGAATGTACATGGTGACCAAAAAGCTGCGATATCATTACACTGTCTCGCAAGTCTTTAAAGAAATTATGATTTTTTTTAATATATAGATCATAAGGTAGTTATCACGACTTTTTGGTCACCCTGTACTTTGTGGTTGTCTTCCTGCTGCCACGTCAGAGAGAGAGAGAGAGCAGTCGGTGAGCAGATTGGGGTTTGTGGTGTCAGTACTACACTGTTGGAGTATGATAGTCTGGCAGTATGTATACATCTGCTGCCAGCAATGTTCGTGATGGCATTTTTCCTCTCTTGAGATGGAGTGCCTCGCAACTGGTATGTTTCACTCCACTGCCAAGCCGAGAAGAGGGAGAAACCCGGGCAATGAAAGCAGTTTGGGCGTCAATCGATGGAGAGAGATTTGAACTCAATCTTGCAGCCCTCAAAACTTTCCTCTTTGACCATGCCTTCGGGCATCCTCCCACCTCCTCCCTTTGCCTTCCATCCCTCTTGATTCCAACCCCCCAGCTCGGTTGCAAACCCTTCGCTGTCCAACACCCTGGGACGTCCTCCCGACGTGAAAGGCGCTATATAAATGCAATTTCTTGTTGATTAAGAGCAGAGCTTTTCCTTGCAAAAAGGACTTGTTGTCTTGTCCAGTGCAGATCAGTATTGAGCTCGCCATGTAGTGACAGGTGCATTGGCAAACATTATAAAGGGATATCTGCAACCAACGAGCATTAAAGCACCCGGACTAAAAACTACCGTCATTTTTTTTAAATAACAAAAATCAGATGCGATATGTTGTCTTGTACGTAAAATATTTTATTGATTTAACCTCATAGTTGGAAGTGGGTTGACATAATATGTATGCGCGGTTTGTACAGATAGCCTAGGGGCAATAGTCTACTAAACCACAGTGCAGCATGGCGCCAGAAATCATCAGCATCTTTTTTTTCTTTCTGCGTTGCTTGCTGTAAACAGGTCTCTGCTGATTCCAGTTCTTCTATGGGCTCAAACGCCCCTCTGGTCAGGATCACTCGGCTCTCTTCCATGGACACACCGATGCTGGCCGGAGTCTCGGAGTATGAGCTACCGGAAGATCCGATGTGGGAGTTTTCACGGGACAAGTGAGTACCCTCTGTGTTTCCTTGGCTCCTTGCCTTCCCCCATCTCCACAACATCGCCCGGCTCCGCCACTGTCTCACACCGCAGGCCCCCGAGACCCTCATACACACCTTCATTGCATCCAGACTTCACTATGCAAACTCACTGCTTGTCGGCCTCCCCGACTCCTCCCTCCACAGGCTGCAGATCATCCAGAACTCTGCAGCCCGTGTCCTCTCCCGCACCGGGCTCCGTGACCCTATCACCCCTTTCCTCGCCCAACTCCACTGGCTTCCCATCACACAGAGGATACAGTTCAAGATCCTGGTCCTCACCTCCAAAGCCCTCCATGCTCTTGCTCCCCCCTACCTCTGCGACCTCCTAAACCCCTACCATCCTGCTCCCTCCCTCGACTCAGCGGGCTCTGGCCTACTTCATATCGCCCGCCTCGCTCGCCCCACTATTGGGGTGGGCCTTCTGCCACTCTTCCCCCACCCCCTGGAACTCCATCCTGCAGTCCCTCCATCACGCCCTCTCCCTCGCCACCTTCAAGACCCATCTCAAGACCTTCCTTTGACTGTGCTTTAGATCTCCCTGCTTCCCCCCAACTGCCCTCCACCCTCCCCCAACCCTCAGCTCGGGTCCGAAACTTCTGACTGTCCAGCGCCTTGGGACGTCCTCCCGACGTGACAGGCACTTTACAAATGTAATTTTGTTGTTGATTGTCATTTTCTTTGTTTGTGCTGTGAGCTCCTGTGTCCTGGGACTGGTCTGTGACTGTTCAAAGCTGATTTCAATTCAAACCTGGACCTAGGGGAAGGGGGAAAATCAAAGAGTGATCTTGCCAGCTAACTGGACCAGAGTTAAACCCAACTCCTCTATCGAGTGTTGGTTTCGATGAATTTTACAGAAGAGCAGACGTTCTGCTCTCTGTGCCTTTTTATTGAAAGGATTTCGCTGCACCTTTTTGGCGGGCATACTTCTCCTGCTAGTCAGTACAAAATGCCAGAAATAGACACACAGTGTGCAGTGTTCCGTTCGAAGGAAAAGAGGGAAAAACAAAACGAGATCGAGATGTGTGCACACAGGATCAAACAAGCAATTGGGATGTTTGAAAGGGAGATGGATGCTTGGGAATTAAGGGAGATTAAGGGAAATGGTATAAAGGTAGTGAGCATTGATGTAATCTGCTGTGATCTAATTAATGACTGAGCAGGTTTGACTGGCTGAATGTTTTCCTCTGGTTTCTACATGAGTGTACTCTACAGCCATTAGTCGTGTTAAAGATGGGAGGAATGATCATTAGTGATTGTCCTCATCGTTATTTTTCCAGCTATTTTTTGCACATTGTAAAAGAACCAAGGTGCCCCTTTCAGCCAACTCACCAGCAGACAGAACCTTTAAGCTTCCTGCTCCGCCATCCTAGTCACTGTGCAGCTGAACGTCAGGCATGAGTGAAGCCAGGTGTTCGACTGTATACGTTTTGCCTACAGGCATGCAACTTAAATGGATTGTGGGCAAACAAAAGAGGCAACCCACCCCCTTTCTACATGTAGCGAATTGTCTGTGCTCCTTGCCAACATAGACACTCAAGTGATTATAGTTGCCAGATAAATCAATCCAAAAAACTAAGGATTGAACCAATATGAGGCTACAGCCAATGCATACAAGTAATCCTCCCCGCTATACATGTAGCCCATTTAAAACTTGTGAAGTCAAATTCTGCATCAGATTTCCGCGTGTGTCATGTCGGGGCAGTGTTTGCTAATTTGGCAATTTTAATTGTTGGTAATGGAGCGATTTCTGCACTCAATCATCACCCAAATCCAAAATGTATTTGGCCAAGTATTGTGCTGGATCACTTTATATATATATATATATATATATAAAGTTCATCCCGTTTTTTTCCTTGCTGTGGTGGTGGTGAGGAGTGAGGGTGGGAGAGAAGCAGCCTGCCTAAGTTCTGTGCCAATGGCTCCTTAGTCTGGCCACCAGGCGATGATAGGGGATGTTCAGACAGGTCATCAGCGTTCGGATTCAGAGCTTTTTCTGCTCTCATCAGTGCACATTGCAACTCTGGAGTCCGGAAGCTCAGGGGTTAGAGCACTCGCCTCGCAAGCAAGTGGAACTGGGTTCGATTCCTGAGCAGGGCAAAACGTTGAGCAAGTTATCTTACTCCACACTCCTCTGTTTACCCAGCAGTAAGTTGGAACCTGGTTGTTATTCGATTGGCGGATCACTTTTCTGGGGGGGGGGGGTAATAATCCCTTAAAAAAAATAACAATCATTTGGTCACTCAAACCACGACTGTTTGTGGGACACTGTGCGCAATTGGTTGTTGCGTTTAGCCCAGAAAATATACAGTCAATTCACTTTACAGTATATTCTGTGAAGCGCTTTGAGACGTCTCGAAGACATGATAAGGCGCTGTATCAAATGCAAGGATTATTATTATTGGTGGCCTCTGTTTTTCTGGTTAGTGACTGGGACAATGATAAAATCCAAGTCTGTCTAAAGTACAGGACCTGGAGGTGAAGGGGAGGTAGGAGCAGTTAGCATAAAGCACCATGTACCTGTTGCTTCAGATTTAAAAAAAATGCAATATTTGCAATCCAATATCCTCGAGGTGAATAAGGGCATAAAACGTTACGTTTATTTTCTTTTAAAATCCAGCAACTTTTTTTAAGTGTTTTTTCCCCTCAAGAAAAATCTCCTTTGAAAACATGGTATGTGATCTCTGTTGACTTTATATCCAGTTTGGTTGGTTTGTTCTCAGGATATCAATTAAATTAGATGCCTGCAACAAGCAATGCAGTCTTAATTAATGCCTACATTATTCTGGTCATTGCCACAGTGTGTATGGAACGCCTTGTTGCTCAGCTGCCTAAGGGGACTTGCTAAATGTGGAAACTTCGAGTGCATTAACATTTAAGAAAACATTGGTTAACAGTAATGTAGGTGGAGTAGCTTTGCAATGAAAGGGAGCTTTGAGAACCTGCTATTAGATCCTGAGCACATTTTGTGCACAAAGAGACGATTGTACAACTTCAGTAAATACACTATCTGTGCAACTTAAATTAGCCACCTGCAAATGTCAATGTTTGCGTAGCAGCAATGTTTGAGACTGCAGTGCAAGCCTGGTACTAGGGTCATGTGGCATCTTTCAGCATTACCTCCAAAGGCAGCTTAGGCCACTTAGGCCACTGCTGGAACCTAAAACAAGATGATAATAACTTGATCCAGCGTCTTATCCCATCGTCAGGCTATCTTAAAAGTTTCACAGTATTTTTACCGCGAGATGTCGTGACTGTGCATTTGTGGCTGAACACAGAAGCCAATTTCCGCCCTGGATCATGACCTACAAGCAGCTGTGAAATGAGTGACCACGTTTTATTTGGGAGTAAAAACAGAAGTGGCTGGGGACACTTAGCAGGACAGACGGCATCTAGGGAGAGAGGAAAGTGAGTTAACGTTTCAGGTCGATGACCTCTCGTCAAGAACGGTGCAGCTTTAACTATCTCCTTCTCCCAATACGTCAGCGATCAGCTTTTGGCGTTGCTGCCCCGTCCAAACCTTCCCTCAAGATCGGGAAAGTGTCCAAGGCTAGGGAAACGAGCTTCGATTCGTAACGCAAACAGCTGGAGGTGCTTCTAGTTTCTGCGTTGACAACAATGGTTGGAATTCCACTTCATGGAGTAAATGATCTAAATTCCAGAGTCCAACAGCCTTGGGCTACCTCAGAACCAGTTTCTTTAAACTGGTTCTCACAATGAGTTGTCAAGCCAAATGCAGAATTGACTGAAATTACTTAAGTAAATTGAGATGTTTAATAATCTCATGAAAACATTCGCCGCCAAAACACACTGTCACTAACCTTTACAAGTAAATCCTTTTGAGAAATTCACACAATTCGTAAGGTGCTATATGAAATATAAGGGTTATTATTAATAATATAATAATGCCTATTTGAATATGTGGTTGCATTGTTGCTTTCTAGAGCTATTGGAAACAATAGTTAATGTAGGAGATGATCATAAATAATGAAGAGAATCAGCAAGATTATTTATAGGTTCAAGATAATTGGCAAAAGAACCAGAGGGGAGAGGAGAATTTTTTTTTACACCACGAGTTGTTACCGTCTGGAATGCACTGCCTGAAAGGTTGGTGGAAACACACTCATTAACGGCTTTCAAAAGGGAATTGGATAGGTACTTGAAAAGGACAAGGATATGGGGAAAGTGCAGGGGAGTGGGACTGATTGGGTAACTCTTCCAAAGAGTCAGCCCAGACACGATGGGCGAATAGCCTCCTTCTGTGCTGTGTGTTCTATGATTATATAAGTATTTATTTGAATGAATATAGCACACCATCACATGCAAAGTACTGTACTATAATACACTCAGTTATTAACATTACAGTAAGAACTGTATTACAAGATTGTGTTTGTGGGGGAGGTGGCCATAAAACTCCAAAGTGCCTCTTAATTGTTCAGCGCTTCCATTTCTGTGAAAACCAAACTTAAAAGTGAGGTCCGGTGCTCAAAATAGTGTGTTAACTCTGCAGGCTGACACTTGGCAAACCCCTTGGAGAAGGCTGCTTTGGACAAGTTGTGTTGGCAGATGCTTTGGGGGTCGACAAAGACAAGACGAAGGAACCCGCCCATGTGGCTGTGAAGATGCTGAAAGGTAAAATAGGACATTTAAAAAGAATTATTCCTCTCCAGTGGCTGACATTGTAACTGTCGAAAGGTTTAACTGTTGGCCTCAAGCTCTTTGGTTCTGCAAACATATTGTAAACGATTTTGTTGGACATTCAGCAGAATCAATGATTCTTAATGGCACTAATCAAATAATCCTAAAGTGCCAACTATTGTTGTTTGTTTGGCTTTGTGGAGTGACTGTAAAATGGATATACTGTAAAATGGAGTGACTGTTTTGTGGATGAACGCGTGACATTATTATAGCAAAGATAATCAGCGAAACAGGATTGCGCTCGCTTTATATTTCAGATTAATTCTGATAATGCTGGTTTATTTGACAATTTAGCTAAAGTAGTGTCTTAACGCTTTTCTCCCCTCTCAGTTGACGCCACAGAAAAAGATCTATCGGACCTTGTTTCTGAGATGGAAATGATGAAAATGATCGGCAAGCACAAGAATATCATCAATCTACTTGGAGCCTGCACCCAGGATGGTAAAGCTAAGAGCAATGTACCGAGTTGAGCTCAGTCTGCCTCAGGTTTGGTTTAATGAGAAGCAAAATTGATTGCATTCTCATGCCGTGATACAGGGCTCGAGTCTGTGTCCACTCTTGTGTTGAGTCAAGGCAGTTGCCAAGCTCCTCAGGGGAATGAACATAATAGTACAACTTATGGAGCTGAACCATTTGCCCGCTCCACTGAGAGCATAAGGAGAAATGTGACACCTGAGAACAATTTAGGAGAAGGTCCAGTCTTTCAGTGAACTGTATTGTGATTACACCAGCAAAGGCTTGAGACCCTTCACGTAAGATATCGTCTCTGGGATCTTTACGACGACGGAGGGCGATACGAAGCAAGGGAGAAGGGGGAGGTGATTGTAGTTGCGGTTAAAGAACTAGATTTTAAGCGGGAATTAAAGACAAATCAGGATTGAGCGAGACAGAGGAGTAAAGATAGAGGTGTTGTAAACTCATTTGAAAACCAGATAATATCACTCGTAATATCATGTGCCTCATTTTCCTTTCTCTTGCCTCCCCCCCCTCCCCCACCCAATAACTACAAGGAGGAGACAGTGGTTTATGGTGTATTCACTGAATCTGACACCAAGCTTATGTAAAGTTTCATTCCCCAGAGAGTAACTTTTTATTTGTAAATGTAGTGTTGATGCCTCTGTGCCTTTTTTTTTATCCTTTCCAAGAGCAGCCTGGCCTCATCACTGACCACATCCTTCACAAATGCACAGAGGCCTTGAAAGCACTGAAGTGTATCGCTGCAATCCCCAATATTTATAACTGGGGCCTTTCCTGTGGACATTTGTTTGTTTAAAAGCAGAAAAAAAAATTCTTCAATTAATTATGGAACAATTTTGACTTGTATTCTAGTATACAGTACAGCTTCAGTCTACTGCCTAGCTAATATGCATCGCATGTTTATGTCTTATTAAACTTAATGTTGACATAGCTGTGTGTTTGACGTTTTGCTGTTTTGAAGTTGGGAAATGAGCTGGGCCGAGTCAGTTGAGTATACAAGCGTATGCATTGTTTGTGTGTGCGTGTGCGTGTGTGTGTCTGTGTTTGTTGATGTATAGCTGGATAATACAAGCATTCGATTTAACTTGATGTATGTTCTGCGCACAGGTCCATTGTATGTCATTGTAGAGTATGCATCCAAAGGCAATCTGCGTCAGTACCTGCGTGCGAGGAGGCCTCCTGGTATGGAGTACACCTTCGATGTCAACCATGTACCAGAAGAGCAATTAACATTCAAAGACCTGGTGTCCAGTACTTACCAAGTGGCGAGGGGCATGGAGTACTTGGCTTCCCAGAAGGTATGCAAACTCGAAAGTGCAAAGTCCATTTAAACGAGAAATGTATGGTACACATGAGATAAACTGAACAAATTTGCAAAGGGTTTTTTTTTATCGCCTATAATCAGTCTCTGCAAGATTATGACTTGCTTTCGGCCCGGCAAACATCTGTCTTCTCAAATTGTTGTTTAAGTACGGCCAGTAGATTTAAGACGGAGGCTGGTTGACACGTGTGTGTGTGTGTGTATGTGTGTGTGTTAACCCTTGAAGATTATCGCAGCAAATGACCGCCAACCGCATTGTTTGTTGAAGTCTCAATCAAGTGAAGCAAATGGCACTTTTTAGAAAGGAAAAAGAAGTGAAAGTTTGTGTTTTTGACATTGTGGAGTCGTTCCTCTGTGTAAGGTAAGATGCTACAGCTGCTCCCCAGTGTGGGCCCGATCATTGCTCTTCGTCTCTTTCCGAGACTTGGACTTGAATCCAGTCCAGAGAATAGGAAATGGCTGTCCTGTGACATTAACCGTTGCATTCGTTGGCAGTAGTGTTGACCCACTTCCCCAATGGGAGTGCCAACTCGAAACAACTGACCCTAATTTAGCATATAATTTGTTAGGGTCATCATGAAGGAGGCGCAGGCTCGTGAGCTTACAGAACAGAATCATCACTCAATCCAGGAAAAGGGGGCTGTTCAGCCGAGGTTGTTAGTTTAAGCTTAATTGTCAAGCAACTATGCAGCGTTCTCTCACTCACATATCTGACAGTTGAACAAGGAATCCTTTGTTGCCAGCCTTTTCTGGGACTTTCATCCCATTCCCGTTTAATGGACACACATTCCGCAAAGCCCAAGAAAGAAGAGATATCTAACCAAACAGATTGTCAAGGCATTATCTTTTGACAGCATGCTGCCGTCTGTAAGTTAAAATTCTATCTTGTTTCCTTTCAGTGCATCCATCGAGACTTGGCAGCTAGGAATGTTCTTGTTACGGAAAATAATGTGATGAAAATTGCAGACTTTGGGTTGGCCAGAGATGTCCACAATATTGATTACTACAAAAAGACGACAAATGTAAGTATTTGTGTTTTTCAGGCTGTGATTGACTGCTGAATACTATATCATCTTCTACTGTCACTTACCTGTTTATTGCTTTTTGTTATTGACGCCCCAGGTTTTTTGGTCCTATGGGAATGAAGAGGTAGAAACATGGACACATACCCTGCAGTGTTCAGTATAAGATGAATAGAATTCCTCTGACCATGAGACATGCTGTCGAGTGGCCTTTGCAGGGTCCTGAGATCAGACTAATTAGTCTGAGACGTAGCCTATATCTTTAAAAAAAATTAAGATCACAAGACTCTTAAGATTCTTCATTTCAATCTTAATTTGGAAGCTTTTTTTTTAAGGGTTGTGGACAATTATAATCTTCCACTTGCAAAACTGAATTTTAAGAATTCTCCACAGTTTTGCGAAATGAAGCAACTTCAGTTTGAAACAAAATGGTCTTTGAGGCTAAGAGTATTTGGAATTTCTCGGACCTCAGGCAGGACCCTCAGATTATTTTCACGGACAAACTTATTATTAAACTCGGGAGCAGTTGAAAAGGAGATGATTACTTCTCCGCAATGCCTTAGCCGAAGAATTGAATGCTTTGGGCTGTCGAAAAATAGGAGAATAGGGGCTTTAAAAATAAGATGATATTTAAAAAGCCATGCATTTTTTGACACCGCAAGGTTGAAGTCAGTTTACGATTATTATGATACGATAAATTACATTGAGAGGTACGATGAAAGATCTTTTCATTCGGTATACTTCTTCTGCACCGGAAGAAACGGTGTGATTTTTTAGCTTGCAAAGAGTGATTCCATTTGCTGCTGCAGATAAAAAGTATTTTTGCTTCAGATACAGTTTGTTGTCGAATGACGTACATCAAGCCTTTCACATTTGGTAGTTGTAATGCGGGGGTAATGTCCCCTTTCATACAGCTTCATATTTAATATTTGTAACGTTTGTTTTTCAGGGTCGACTTCCAGTAAAGTGGATGGCTCCCGAAGCTCTGTTTGACCGTGTTTACACACATCAGAGTGATGTGTAAGTACGAGCTCTGTTTAGAAACATGTAATAACCCATTAAACTTAAACCAGTCACTCCGTACTCTCCAACCACTGTACACATCACTTTCATGGAGTGCCTGGGACGTTTCCTCAAAAAGACTCAAAAAAAATACGTCAATGGAACCCAAAGAATTAGCTTTCCTGCAAATTTTGCGTGCGCTAGAAAGTGGAATGCTCGCGTCAGCAAATTTTACATCAAAACACGGTTTAGCTCTACTTTGCAGAATTTTCTGTGAATGTACAGCATTTCAGAGCATCCAGAATTCAGTCCAAACTCTTAAGCATTTTGTTGTGTAGTTTTGTTTCCCCCCAAAAAAGCTTTTCTTAGTGAAGAAAACAAGCTTCACACTTGAGGCTGTATTTTTGAATATCAAATGTTGTGTTGTGTACCCTGAAATGCTACTTGATGGAGTAAATCTAGACTCAGGTGGTTTTTCCTCCCCTTATTGCTTTGGAAGATCTTCTTGAGACTCACAGACGTACAGCTAGAGAATAGTTTTGCCTGATTTGGTACTTGCTTCAAACTCCTAATAGACTTGACTTGTATTGTATTGTACTGACCCTGTATTGCACATGGGGAAGCATTACTTGACTTGTGTAATGCGAACTCCCAATAACAGTTTGGGCTGTCAGCACGTCCCGTTGTTTTAAACAACGGCCATATGGTACGGCACCTTGTGGAGGAAATGGACCATCAGTTGAATCTTCCCCCACGAAAAACACTGAGGAATATTAGGAAAAACAGCTAATTAAAGCATAACATTTTGCCAATAATTCTGGTGGGACTCATTTTAGGGTTCAATTAAAATGCAGCACAGAATCCTGTTTGTGTTCATATAATGAAGGAGGAAGGAAGGAAATTTCATGTAACTGGAGACAAAAGTGAAATGATGTGGTTTGGCATTCCTTGTGAAAGTACAGAGTACATTTGACTGCTTACCAATCTGGACACGTCTTCAGTTCCTAAAATACCCAGAGAGCATTAAAAAGCTTCCGCCTGAGCAGCACAGTTGGTAAAAGCCACTGCGTAAAGTGAAGCTCGTCCATATTGACCCAGAAACCTCAATCTCTGCTCTGTGCTGAGTGACTCGGACAGATAGCCTCAGTGACCATGGGATTAAGGAAGGAAATATCAGGATGTATTCCCCTTCCCATTAACCGCCCCCAGTTAAATAGCCTGATAACTTGTGCTATCTGGTTGCCTTCTCATCTTCAGGTAGGCTTCTTGTTGGACACAACAACAACAACAACAAAATAATTGCATTTATAGAGCGCCTTTCAGGTCGGGAGTATGTCCTCAAGCAGATCATGCATTGAGGTTCACTTAGGAATTATCGCCCACAAATTACACAGTCACTCCGCCTTACAGTATTTCCTTGAAGTGCTGCGAGAGGTCCTCCTGACGCGAAAGGCGCTATGTCAAATGCAAGGAATATAATCCCCGGATTATAAAACCGGAGATGAGCTTCCGCGATGTGATACCGGTGGAAATATAATCCAAGCGTCCGAGCCTACAGGAATGCGGAGTATGGAGAAAAAAATAATAAGGAATTGTAACTAAAACTGCTTCTGAATCTGATTGAATGCTACAGGTGGTCATTTGGGGTGCTGATGTGGGAAATCTTCACCCTGGGAGGATCTCCGTATCCAGGCATTCCGGTCGAAGAGCTTTTCAAACTCTTGAAGGAAGGCCACAGGATGGACAAACCTGCCAACTGTACTAATGACTTGTAAGCATTGTGGTTCTTGTAATGCTGTGGTTTGAATGTGTGTGAATGGAAAAGCCACAGCACTTTCAACCAAAGGATTCACTCGCATGTTGTATTTGAAGACGGTTTGGGCTGAGTTATAAGGTTGCCTTTCTCATCTTCAGGTAGGCTTCTCGTTGGTGACCTCAAGCAGATAGTACGTTGAGGTTCGCTTAGGAATTATTGCCCACAAATTACACAGTCACTTCGCTTTCCAGATCTCCTGTGAAGTGCCGCGAGAGTTGCTGGCTTGGTTTGGTAGCTCTCTCGCCTCTGGGTCAGAAGGTTGTGTGTTCCAACCTCATCTCGGGAATTGAGCTCGTAGTCCGGGCTGACGTTTCAGTTGGCTACGGGGGGGGGGGGAAATGCTGCATTGTTGGAGTCACTACACTGCGATGTTAAAGCAAGAGCCATCTATGTGTGAAGATCCCTTGGCACAATTTGGAAAGAAATGTAAATTTCTCCTTACGTTTTGGCTTCCGGATTTAAAAAGCGGTCGTTAATCTCATGGTTGTTGTGGGACATTGCTGTGCTTCAGCATGTTTATTTCAACCTTTATAGCTGCTAGAGAAAAAAAATTCTTACAAGAGAACTGGATCAGAAAAGGAAATAATGGCCATTCATTTTTTTTTTACCGTTTGCACTGGCTACAGGCTTTTCATACAGCACGATTCTATTAACAATAAACTTCAAACTTTCCTGGTTTGAGCCAACTGTGACCCAAGCCAAATGTGTCCCTTGTCTTTGTCGTAGATACATGATGATGCGAGATTGCTGGCATGCCATTCCTGCACAACGACCAACTTTTAAACAGTTGGTTGAAGATCTGGACCGAATTCTCACTTTATCATCGAACGAGGTGAGTGAGCAACAAATCACAGTGTCGTCCAGTTCAGGAAATTGGCCCCTTCATTCATTTCGTGGTCTGAACGTCTAGTTGTGCACAGCGATACGGGGATTATAAATGGGGCGGAAACCATTGATTTCACCCAAGGGCGCAGAGACAAAAGTGACTGGTGTCAGATAAGAGCAGATTGGGATTCCATTCCTGCCAACTTCACAAACTATTGTGGTTATGACTCGCGTAAATTGGATTAAATTATGTTACAAAGAGGGATTTGTGGAGGTGCCCCCTGTACGTGCTGTGGGGCATTTGTAGGTGGTGAAACTGGTCACCCTTCCATTTGGTACGTGCCTCCTTCCCCATTGTTATTGCTGAGGAACGTGATAATGAAGATTGTGGGTTGGTTTCAGTCTGATCCTGTCAGATACTGCGTTTCTGCAAATAGTCAAAGGTACAAGTACCAGCATTGACCACTCCTGTTACGTTTACACCTATGACGGATATCTTTGTAGAGTGTAATGTAGATTTATAATGAGAATAAATGGGATCGATAACACTAGTTGCCGGTTTTAATGTCTGTGTAACTTTCTGTTGGCAGGAATATTTGGACCTTTCTGCACCTCTGGAACAGTATTCACCCAGTTATCCTGATACAAGGAGTTCATGCTCGTCAGGAGATGATTCTGTTTTCACTGACCCTATGCCCAATGAGCCATGTCTTCCAAAGTATCAACAGCACATGAACGGCACTGTTAAAACATGAATCGGAAGCATCGACTTGCCAATCTGACTTTAAATGTGACCTTCCCTGATCGACGCCATATTTTTTTTTGAGGAACATGGGACTCCATAATGGAAAGCTGGTACGGTACGGTTGTTGTGGAAACGATGCAATACATGGACAGGAATGCACTGTACATGAAGAAATGTGCAAATCTAAAGCTCTTACAGGAAAAAAAACAAACTAAAGACAAGACGGGAGAAGTTGACAGATTTAAAAACAAAACAAAACAAAAAAAAATGTCACGTTGATTACTGAATATTTGCGGAGATGTGGTAGCCAGGGCTATTTTCGTTTCCATCGAGTTGGAACTTTGGGCAGATTTGAATGGAAATTTCTGCCTTGATTGTTAATTTGTAATATTGGGAAATTTATCCAGCACGAAACTTCGCAGCTAAATGGAGTGTACGTGTGGGCAGTATTTGTAAATATACCCAAAAAGTGTATAAATATATATTATATATATATTTACAGTGAATTATTTTTTGTATGGATAAAAATAACGGTGATTCTATTGCAGCCAGAAAATGAAAGCCACCTTTTGTTAAATAGTTAACTGCTTTTTCGAAACTGTTCTTCGACAGTGATTCCTTAGCACTTCACTTCTGAAACATTTGTTCAAGACACTTCAAAGTTAAAAAAAAAAATTATTTTGTTTTCAGGGAACGATAATTTATTTTAACTCGTTTGGTATTTAACAGCAACAATTAAAATAATTAACCCTTGACATGCCTTGTATTCCGCGTGGCTTTTGCTGGGCAAGACATGGACTGAGCTTTTGAGGCACAGCGAAGTGGATAATTTTCTGACTTTATCTGGTTGCATTTCTCTTCAGAAATGCTCCTCGCTGGAGGAGAGGAGAGGGGGAGTTGAGGGCAAACAGCAAATAGATTTTCGCTTAACACTTGTGTAGGCATTATTAAACCAGATTGATGATACCAGTTCTGTTCAATCAACTTGAGTTGAACCATGAAGCTCTGTGTATATAACTGCATTGCTGCACAACACCTCATCGGTGTGGCACTGCGTTTGGACATGCCATCCCCCTCTTTTCCAACACAAAACAAAATTTCATTTGTATAGCGCCTTTCACTTCGGGAGCACGACCCAAGGTGCTTTTATTTTGTTAATGCACCCCATTTTTTTTTATGTCTCGGGACCTACATTAAAACCAGCTTTATTTTCATGCACACGTCTTACGCAAATAATGTGAGAGATTCTGCAACATGTTATATTTTAGTTTACACAAGGCTCCCAAGAAAACAACAATGCTGTTAGCGTTCCTTCAAATATCTGTTTCACACAAAACTATCCAGAGGTAGACGAAGTAGCTATGGATTACCTACAGTGTAAGTTAACTGTTAAGAGTGTGCAACATCAGTTGGGCGTTGATGTGGCTTGACTTTTTTAAACAAAAGTAAGTTTCAAACTCTTTGCCTGACGTTAAACATTCTATTAATTGAAAGGAGGGCTTCACTCATTTGCTGGGTTTCGACGTTCTTTTGAAACTCTAGTGGGAGTTGCACACGGACGTAAAAGGGGGTGAAGTGTAAAGCGATTTTTGATAGAATTCCTTAGTAAGGAAACCGGATGACTTCACGGTTACTGGGATTCCTCTTAGAAACCCTCTGTGTATTCGACCCCAACTAATTGTAAAAGCCGAAAAAGAGTTAGTTGATGGCAATACAAGTCTGAAAATAAACCCTAAACGTACTGAATGATTTGACGTAGCTAAAAGACCAAGGTGACAATTCAGCATTGTACTCGAGTAAATTGGTTCAGTGCCCCTTTTATGCCTTTCGTGTTCACTAAATAACCAGTGCAGTTTATTGATGTGTTTTTCCTAACAGTTTTGTACATGTGAATGTTATTAGGGTGGAGGGAGTCGTGCTGAAGTCCTAAACAACTACCTCCAATTTCCCATGAAAATTAGATTTATGAAATCCTCTCCAGAATAATGAAACACAATCTCGTTCAGCCTCAAAGCCCGGAACATATCCATGGTTATCTGAGGTACCGTCAAGACTAAACTTCAGACTAAGGTCCGACATTCAGTCTTTAGTCTTGACTTAAACATTTTCAAACAGTGGTGGTCCTATCTGGTCAAACTAATGAAAATCCTAATATTCAGCCTTAGTTTTAAAAAAAAATCCAACTCTTAGGGTTTGCAAATTGAGCCAATTTTAAGCATTTTCCACAATTCTGCATGATCCAGAACTTTAGAGGCAAAATGGTCTCACAGGCCTATAATGTCTTCAGTTTTTTTTTTGGTTAGTTGTACGACACGTGAAAACCCATCACTGTGCTAAAGAGTCTCCAAACTGAGAGCTCCACATGTGACTGCCACCTACACGTGGCAATCTCACCGAGTCTGGAATAGATTGTGCACTCTCGTCTTAAGAATGAGACCACCATTATTTTATTTGACATCCATTTACAGTTCCACAAATGAAACTCATTTTACCGTGGATTGAGATTGTTTTGAAAACCTTGCAGCTATTAGATGAGGATTCAGGGACATTGCAACCACATTATTCAGTTAACCTTTGTGTTTTGCTGTGATCTGTGTGATCTAGCTTTCTGCTTAGTCCTTCTACCTTGCTCCGATTGCTGGGTGGATGACCTATTCCTGAATGATTTAATAGTGCACTTTAACAACAAATCAAACGCAAGTAGTTGTTCCAGAGCGAGATCCTTTTGGACAGAAACGATCAATAACCCAATGATTTGGCTGCCAATTCTAGGCGTAGTTGTTTGGGCTCAACATGAGCCACTTGAGGAAATATCTGTGCATGACAGAGCACGTTCCAAATTTACTTAATCTTTCAAGGCCCGTCTTTCAGAGAGAGGCTACTGTTTCAGACCAAGATCAAGACTGAATCACGAGACTCTTGAAAGAATGAGGAATAAAGCCTAAAGATTTTATTTCACATTCATTACGGTTCACATTTTTTTGTTAAAATAAATCCGTGAAAGCAAAAGTTGGTGGTTGTCCCTATACAGATTTGGAAAGTGATTGCAATTAGGCAATGTAATAGATTATAATGGGCAGGTAAACAAACAAGACAGAACTATAATAATATATTAGTCACCTGTTTCAGAGAGAAAGACCATTGATCTGGATATACCTTCTTCACTCTTGCTACATTACAATATTTTTATAAAACATTTACTGTCCCATTTCATAGGTACAAATTTGTACATGCTCTGCATAGGATAATATGTGATGTATATCTAATTTATTTAAATTTTTTTTTACAAGAAGCATCTATTTTGTTGTAATAGATTTTCAAATAGTTAAAACGCCTGGGAATGGCTGTAAATGATTTGTTTATATGAAAGCCTCTATACGATTAAACTGTTTTTCTTAATTATTTGCTGGACATATTTCAGGCAAGAACAAAGTGTAACCAAAACATTTTTTTTTATTGAGTGGTTTAATTTGCCTTTAAAAGCCAAAGGTTATACCCCACTTAAACTCTCGGGATTCATTTCGCTGTAGTGCTCTTGCACAATTGTTGACAGGCACAAAGATACTTAAATGTTTGGTGTTGTATTGGGGCTGATTATTTGGGACTGCTTAAGGGGAGTAAGAAAATTTCTATTGAAGCCCATGGAAATACACGCTTTTGTATTAACAGTGTTTTGCCACTAGTAATAGCAATAAACTGTGGCTTTAGCTATCAGTTTCACAATTGTTGGTGTTTGTGTTTGGAACGTGGATTTGGTAAGGAATATAAATGTCAACTTTGTTTGAATTTGGGCGTCACCCTGTTTTGTGTTTGGCAAAGATTAGTAGTGAAACAAAGCAAGAAAACTCAGCCAAGCGTGTGGGGAAACACGCAACACACTCAAATATTTACAAATATTCTCTTCTGGCCAATGCAGGATTAATGAATGTGGACTGACAATGGAAACCAGTTCATCGTGAAGTAACAGCAACATTTAGCATATCTGAAAGGATTGACCCGTATTTGTTTTGCTGCTTATCTTTTACATTACCATTTTTAAGGTGCACATTGGTAGTACAGGGCATTTGACTTTGTTAATCAGAACAATGGCACGATGCATCTCTGTGCACATGGATCACAGCCAACTCATTGCTGGTGCCCCACAAGAACATGTCTGTCCAGAGAGCCTGGATGATAAGAGGTTATAAATGGGATAAAAACACTAACTAGAACAAGTAGGAATCCAGTCTCCCAGTAATAGACAATTTCCGATTCCGGTCTGTGATTTCACAATCGTCAAATTGGATCAGGAGGTAATAGTCCTCGAGAATAATGAGCCCGGCTACCACCACAGATTAATCTCGGACATCAACACCTGCTCGTAATGAACCAAGCGACTAAAAGCCCTCTCCAATTCCATTGCATTTGGTTGTAATAAAGATATCAATGACTATTATGACTAAGCTACTTCAGTTTAGAGCAATATATTTTCCTTTCCTGATCCTTCCAACAAACCTATGATTACAATATGATTATCTGGGTGATTAACCCTTTTGAATGTTTCTTACCCAGCGATAACATGGGTAGATAGCATGTTGCCGGACAGCTTTCAGCCCGATTGTGTTTCAGATTTGGAGTCAAATCTGCGGACACTGTACAAATAACTTTTGCTTATATTTAATTGCACACTACGATTACTTTAACTTGATTAACTTTCTGACCCATGGATCTGGAGAGAATATTTAGACACTTAACACACAAGGTCCTTATGGATTTCACAAAGGAGCTGAGATCAAATGTGTCGGCCTGGCTCAGTGTCAGGAACGTTGTGGGTTGAAGACCCACATCAGGATTTGAAATCACAATAGTCTTACGTTGACGCTGCAATACAACATTGTTGGAGGTGCAGTCCTGTGGATGAGATGTTAAACTGAAGTCCTGTCTGCCTGTTCAAGGGCTTCCCATAGCACTATTCGAAAAGAAAAAGGAGTTTTTTCCATTGTCCTGGCCAATAATCCCCCAAATAAAAATGATCATTCACTTCACCGCTATTTGGGGTCCATTCCGGGATGCTAGCCCGCATGAAGGGTGCTATATAAATGCAAGTTGTTGTTTGTGGGTCATTGCTGTGCACAAATTGGCTGCCATATTTGCCCACAAATGAACAGTCACTCCACAGTAATTCCTGTATAGCGCTTTGGGATTTCCTGACATGAAAGGCACCATACCAAATGCAAGGATTATTATTATTAAATGCATTTTGTATAGTCCATAGCTGTAATGTACTGTAGCAGGAAATGATCTCATTGGTCTGGATTTGAAATCTTAAGGTGGAAATCCATTATGAAAACCCACTTACATTTGCTAATCAACTAAACAGTATGTTTTTTTAAAAAAAAATAGGTAAAAGAAATGGTGCCAGTTGACAAAGAAACAAGTTCAAAAGCAATTTTGGACCAATGTCAAACTTTTATTTTGTAGTAAAATCACACCGTGGATCCACACTATGCAAATCGTTGCTTATTTATAAATCAAGTCAAATTAATTTTGCAATATACACAATACAGGTGTACCTTTGCATTGGGCAAGTATAAATCCTCTTGTTTCATGTTCCAAGTAAATCCAAACAGATCAAATACGGGATTTAAATCATGAGGCAGAACAGTATTTTGGGATGAACCAAGACAATAGAGGACATTGGTTTAAATTCGCAAAGGTCAATTTCAAGTCATATACCAGGAAGTTTTCCTTTATTCAGAAGCTCATAAACAACTGG